GAGAGGACATTTGCCCCCAGAGCTGTCAAGCCAGCCCCTTTTACTAACATTACATTCATGTGGATTATTTTTCAAAGTTTGTGTGGGAAGATAGCAACCCAACCGGAGAGGCCAGCTTTAGCTCAGCACTGAATTTTAAAAAACGAGAGAAAGCAATTCTGAAGCAACAGCATCTGACTAGCTGAAAGGCTCAACTCCTTTCTGTTGAAGGAGGTTAAAGCATCACCTATGGGCTCCCATTCAGTCAATAAAGCAGTGCCTTTCTGTGTCATAGCCCAGTGCCTCTATAGAAGGACCAGTCTACTTCTGCACTAGCCTGGGCAGACTTCAATCGCAATGGCAGAGTGCCAGGACCAAGTAGAAAGCAGACGCAGCAGCTTTGCTAATTCAGGGCTGAATGAAGTTCACTATAATTTGCAATTTCTCACAGTTACAATATTGGCCTGGCCTGGGGATGGAGGAAGGAGTTTAATAACAGCAGCAATTAGTGCACAGGAATGGTGTTAAGCCTTGAAAGAGCCCGTTAAAATAGGAGAACCTGGCAGAGAAACAGCTCTTGAGTTTTCCTGAACAAGTTCACCCATTTCATTCAGCATAAATTACTTCTTTAGGTAAAATGGATGTCAGCCAAATCCATTCTCAAGCCAATGCTGATGTGATGTAAACTGGAGCACCTTCTGTGTGTGCCATGGGATCACTCCAGAACCCTACTTGGATACACACTGCAGAACTGTGATGTTCCTGCAGCTCACCCAAAGATGTCTTTAGAAAACTTTTCTGGCCAAAAAATTAATTTCCCTAAAACTGTTCCCACTCTTGTGTCAGCAGGATGCCAGCTGGCTCGCAGGTGGGGTATGTGGTGGTGTGGGAGTAACTACTGGAGTAGCAACAGATTTGAAAAACAAGAGATTTTGTTAAGAAGCTTAATTAAACTATATGGGTAGGAGAGAGAAGGAAAGCTTCTAGGCTTGTTCCAGAACTCCACCCACCCGGACAATTCTCCCAACAGGACACTGAGTGATGACCGCCTGAACCAATAAAACCCAAGATAGCAGTATTGCATCTTCAGAACTTTTGGTGGATCAACTTACTGTGAGTGGGGAGGATGCTGTTACCTAGCAACTCTGGGAAGACGATTAAGGCCTGGTCTACACACAGGTGGCTAGGGGTGTGATTTTTTTTGGTACCAATCTGGTTATACAAGTACAAGCCTAGTGTGGATGCAGTTGTATCAGCACAAATGAGGTGCCCTATAGACTATTTGTATGAGACAAGGGGAATAAACTATACAGGAATGAACTATATCAATATAAGCACCTTTATACTGGTATAACTCTGTCCACACTAGGCAGATGTACTGGTACAGGCAAGTCTCATCTTACACGGGGGTTCCGTTCCATGGTTAGCGCGTAAAGGGAAAACGGCGTATAGTGAAACACTCATTGAGTTCAATGGCGGGCAGAATCGCCCGCACTACAGATGCAGTTTTTATATTGTTGTTTTTCTTGTTTTCCCCCCGTTTTTGCCGACCGCACAAAGCTGAATTCGCACATGTAAAATGTGCCTAAGATGCTACTTGCCTGTATAACTATACCAGTGTAGTTAAAGTGATACAACTTTTGTGTCTAGGCAAAAAGTAACTCTCTCATCCCCCATACTCCTCCCCAGCATTCTGGCGCTGCAAGTTGCACTAACAAGTGAAAAGCTGTTAAAATAAAATAAAACCATGCAAGATTAGAGCTGATTGACAAATAACAACAAATTACATACACTAATTGTAACTGGTTTCATTTTTTTTGTGACATTTTAATTGATAATGTGAATCAAGTTTTGTTATTTCCCATGTTTTCAATTTTTGGAATATTTTTCAAAAAGGTTTTTGGTCAGCTTAGACACAAGACGTGTGTGTTTTAAATCAAAATACAGTACACCTCTACCCCGATATAACGCTGTCCTCGGGAGCAAAAAAATCTTACCGCGTTATAGGTGAAACTGCATTATATTGAACTTGCTTTGATCTGCCGGAGCGCGCAGCCCCGCCCCCCAGGAGCACTGTTTTACTGCATTATATCTGAATTCATGTTATATCGGGTTGCGTTATCTCGGGGTAGAAATGTATTTAAATAACAATTTCTTTGAAAATGGAAAACAATAACTGATTAATGACAATTTTCGATTTAAAATATTCCATTAAAATTTTCAATATTGGGCATTTTTGGACAAGATTTCATTAGAAAACTTTGGACCAGCTCTGCATAATACCCTCCCTCCCCGCCCCGACTTAGGCTCTAATCCTGTGAAGACTTATGCATATGCCTAACTTTACTTATGTGAATAGTCCCAGGGACTTCAATAGGGACTATTCACATAAGTAAAGTTACACATGTAGGTAAATCTTTGCAGGATCAGAGCCTTACTTGCACTCTGATGTCTGGCTGACCCATTAGTTCTAATCTCTGCAGACCCTGGGCCTGGTCCAGTCATAGTTTTGCTCATAGTGGGATTTTCATTCCTTTTGTTGGAAAAGTGTGGAATTTCTCAACCGTACAGTGTCACTTTGGACTCTGCAGACCTCTCAGAGTCTGCCAGGTGACTTGCTAGCATCTGATCCACATGAGTCTACTCATCGCCCATTTATTTCTGCTACATATATTAAACACTAGACTGGCCTACAAGCATGTACTATAATGGGCCATGGTTCAAAAACGTCTCAAGAAGAGGGAAAGGAGGCAAAAGGAAGGAGGCATTTCTGGATTCACTGTTAAATGTGTCCATGAAATAGACAAGATATGCAGTGTGGCTAAGTTTATTGATGCAGGCATCTTAAAGTTTATATTTCCCATTATTTTTGTAATATTAATTGAGCAACCTTGATGATGCATTAATAAAGCAGGGAAGATAGACTAGCTCTGGGACCTTTCCCTTCAGTTGTATAGCGGAAGAATCAACTGCAAGTATTACCCCAGCATGGAGTAATCATAGACCTGATTCATTTCTTACTCTTCTGATGTTCCCTGGGCCTCTCACTCCCACTGTAGTTAATGGGAAATTTGCCATGGACTTCAGTAGCAGCAG